GACGGCGACAACTTTCACGACAGAAACGTAGTCATCGTGAAGGGGGGGACGCGGGCTAGCGATTAAGCAGGAAACGATAGCGCGGAGGAGGGTGAAGGCGAAACCGTCGATGCTTTTTCCGCCGAAAAGGAAATATGTTGAGCAACTGATTGCACAGTGTTCTTGCTACTTACGCGTCTCTTCGTATCCCATCTCAGGCCCATCCAGTCATTTCCAGTATTACTGCCGAAAAGGAGGCGATGACGTCACCATGCAAACCAAATCATGCAAAGAAAGACATGCTTTCAATGACTGACCCTGCTTATTGCAGATGGTGGTGGGCGAGAGGGTCCGGGGGTGAGCCACACCGTATGTTGAACCCCCCCAAGACACTCAAAAATGCATTGGACAGGCTAGGCGTACACCAAGGTGAAGCCCGGCCGCATCATACGTCACAACCGACAGCTTTGGTAGATTGGGAAGTAGGCAAACAACAACAAGCCCTTTTCATCAAAAAAACAAAAAACAGTTACAAATACATACGGTACAAGTGTCGCGCAAGGGTCAGCCAGAGACGGACGGACCTGATGTTGGTGGAGTTGACGAAGAGCTCGAAGGGGTCCTCGGACGCCCCCCCGGCGGATGCGAGTCCGGACTTCTTCTGCCGCTTCAGCTGCCGCATTCTCTTCTTGCGGTGCGTCGAGAACCCGAGCTGACGCAGGGGACGCAGCCAAACACACCCACACAAGAACACGCATGCCGCCCGTGGTTGGGCGCGCGGGAGGGGGGAGGGTGGCTTCGGGTAAATAGAGAGAAGAGAGAGGAGGGGAAGAGCGAGGAGAGGGGGGTATGCCCGACCAAATCATGCACTCGGGGGAGGGGGATAGGAGGACACTTGGCAGAACTTTGGCAAACGGAAAATGAAGTGGCTGAGGGGCACACAGAACGCATGCGGACAACGAGGTCAACTGTCAAGATAAGAGGTGGCCGGAGAGGGGAGGAATAGAGCAGGCAGACAACCTCGGAGCGGTGCTCACTAGGCGGGCAGAAAACTGATAAGAAAAACTAGGGTTACTGCGGTGCAGGCCACAAAAGTACGACACGCCAGGAAAAGACGTGCGATTTTGTCCCCTACCTCTTTCTTGTAGCACCAGAGGACGCTGGGCCGGCTCGCCACCCTCGCCTTGGAGAGAATGTAGTGAAGGTTCACCACCTGAAGGACAATAAGCGCACCAAAGAGAGGCATTCGCCGTCACCGGGTAACAGGGGACATGGATGAAGTTAGGAACTAAACGCTGAAGATGGTAGCACTGGCCCCGTCGCCGTCATACGCGACAAGTGCAAAAACAAAAGGCATTCATTTACGCATCAGGGGTACTACAGCCCTGGTACCCATCTCCCGTGCCCGCCTGCCGTCACCCTGCTGCACACTGCACGGCTGCACGAGAGCAGGCTAATCAACAATCTGAACTACAGGGTTACGTGGTGGTGAGGGTCCTGTGAAACCAACGACTCAGCGGCTGAGGCTGGAACGGGGGCGGGACAAGGATACAAGAAACACCAACGGCAACGTGTTTGTGTGAGATTGTGTTTTCGTCCTATTTATTCTGGCGACAATCCCCCATTTCGTGGTGGACTGTGTTTCAGTGTATGTAGAGTACTACACTTTTCAGTTTATTTTGTGGTACAACTACAATCATCCAGGGTCACACAGGCGGCGGTAGCGTTTTTTTATTTCCTTTTATCTCTTTTTGTTTTCGTGCCCCACCTTCCTGCTGCGGTGCATGTTGAACTTTACTTTGTATTTTTTCTCGCGTCCTTTTCCCTCGTCAACGGTGCTAACGTCCAAGTATAGTACTCACGAGTTTTTCAGCCTTTTCGCTTTCGCCCGCAGGTTTGTACACTTTTCCCCCGTGGGGATTCGAGCTCACGACTTTGCCGCTGGTGATTCGGGGTTACCACTAGACCGAAGAGGCGACCGTTATGTGATGGTGCGATATTGGGGTCAAGGGCACAGCATGGCAAAGCGTTTCAGTGATGGTGTGATATTGGAGTCAGGGGCACTGCACCGTAAGGTGCCGGCGTGATGGTGTGGTAACGGCGTCAAGCGCACAGCACCCGCACGAGACGACACGGGTGAGCAACTGACCGAGTTCAGCGTGGAAATCATGTAGTTACGAAGTAGAAGTAGATGACAAGGCCGGTGTCTTCATGGAAGAGTGCGGGGTGCGCCATGCCCGGCGGTTGATACCAGAACGTGCAGCGTACAACGACAAGTTGACAGGCGGATGTGTGAGGTACGGGTTCAGTAATGGGGGCCCCGGTTTAGCAATCCCTTGTTTATCTACACGCCCAGTATAGCGACCGCAAAACCGCGTGGCACCACTGCACCCCGACCTAAAAAACTACTGTACCCCTTTCGGTACCCCTTCCCACTTGGCAGAGATCGACGCCGCGCAAGCTCGCTGCTGAACCTGCGCCATCGCCCCTGGAATGTCCCCTCCTCCTCCTCTCGTGCACAGCGCCTACACTAGAATCATGGCGCTTCTCCCCGCGTACCCCCGCCCCCCCATTGCCGAGGAGTGCAAAGGCGGGAGAGGAGATTGTAGCCAGGGCGTTCTTCGCCAGGTACTTGGAAACAGGGTTACTAAGAAAAATAAATACACACACAGAAAGACTACCCGTTCGAGATATGCCCACAGCAGTCGAACGGGATGTGGAGTCTTTTCAGTGAGTGGAGGAAGTTAGGGTGATACATACATACGGCCACAACACAACGTGCCTGAGAGCTTGGTTTCGATGCTCCTGCTGTCGCGGCGGGAGGAATGATCATGCCTAGGGCATGGGTTGCCGCGTAGCATGGGGAGGGGGACAGTCGGTCGGATACGTACTGCTGTGCAGGTCGACACTGCTGCTGTGCGGCTGCTGTAGGCCGCCAGGTTGGGGTCGAATAACCGATAGCCACATTGACGACAACTGCACCAGGAGTTACTCTCCTATCAGCCCAACGGCATGGCACCGCGCGGACCGGTGGAACTGCAGAGAGCCCCCGTGTTGTCGAGGCAGCCACGCCGTCTGCCACGGGATAGGTGCATGAGGAATGTACAGCAGTAATAGTGGGATAGTCCCCCGCAACTCCACAGCAGCACAGCACAACAGGACCAAGAAAACCCCATCTAGGTCGAGACCGCTGGTTGCCGAGCACATGAAATAGCAGCAGTCGACAATAGCATGTGTGTGTGTGTGGTCGGCTGCGGGATTGGTGAGTCTGCTGTGCCGTGTGCGGCGGAGTGGCTTGCCTGATCCTTTCCATGGTCACCAACGAGCACAAAGGTGCTTCTGTGGTTGCTCTTCACCCCGTTCTCGATCAAGCTCCGGACGCGGGCATCCACCTTCTTTCGAACCATCGCCACACCAAGCCCCAAAGCTATCCTAAGCGTCCACAACGCACGTAGCGCCAGTACCCAGGATTGCGAAGGCAGGCCACGACTCCACGACTCTCATCGCGCCGCTCTCGCCCCCGAAAGCTGACAGTCCCGCGGGCCTCGGTTGTTTGGCCGCAGAGGAGATCTGCAGGCCGTACTCCCGAGAACCGTACGCCTTTGCTTCCCTTACCACCTGGACCTCGCCCTACATGACTGGAATTGACACGCAAGCACCGCGGTAGGAGTGCGTGTTTGATGCACACACAACACAAGGCAGTGGGCAGCGGCTGAGGGGGGACGCAAGCAAATACATCCCTCCGCGCACAGCAGCCCAATACCTAGACTACTCAGTGGCCACCGACTCCGTCTTCTCCCTGTTTCTGGCAGACGTGACGTGGATCCAGGCGGCTCCATGAATTTCTATCTTCCTCTGTTGTAGATTGTGTTGAAACAAATAATCCACTACGAAAGGAAGGGCGAACATGTGATTTTATCATGATTTTGTTGTCACTTTCATCAGAGATCGGATCGATTCATTGTTGAACATGCAGCCATCAAGCATCATGTCACGACATGCAAATGTCAAGCAGATCTATCTGTTCTCGCGTACTTTTCCGGTAAATAGTAGACTAATCCAGGATCCACGGAAAGATCTCTCGAAAATCTGTAGCTTAGGTTGGTATTAGTTGCCGGAAATTACGCTGTAAACCCTGGGCTGTGTGCCCCATGCTTGTCACTTGTCATCTCATCACCTCTACCACCACACCCAATCAAGGGAAGCGAGCAACCTAACCTAAAGTGAGATTGATCTGCGCCTGTACAGTTGGCGCCCGCAGTTAAGAAACGCTTAATTCAGGTCCAGCCTCGAATTCATATTGTGGGCTATAGACTCAGCGAATGTCATTCAGTTTCTTTTTTCAAGTTTCTTATTTTTTCTTGCAGCTAAATCCTGCTGAATTTCTGACATCGGCGATTTCTTATTTCTCTGCTTGCATACTACACAACGTTCCAATTATACAAATGATTTGCACTGCTTTCTTCGACCCACTACCGACGGCTGCACGTAAGGCCACTCCCTAGAAGCGAAATGTATCCAGCGGCAACGTCTCGCTATCGCTACAAGGTCCTGTACCCCCCTCATGAGTGACGGCTGAAACTAAACAAATGCATCAACACCGCATAATGCCTCACCCGCACGCTGAAGTACCAACAACGACAACTACCCCGTCATTATGTTGCAAGCTCCGTGAGGTGAACATTGGGGGTTGTCACCCTTTTGAGCCTCCCGCTCCCTTCCTTTGGGTCTACCTCTACGAGAACCCACGCCCCAATTGCGGCGTCTTCATCCGTGCTGTACGACTCCAATGGCATCTTCATGCTACGCGTGCTTTCGTCACAGTGCAGGATGACGCGGTAGTCGTACTCCTGCCGCGAAGAGGGGTGAGATCTGCGACTAATTACCCCTCCGAACCAACCCAACCCGAGTTTCACGAGAACCCCACGCTTCACTATCGACTGATCGAGGGCCGGTGGTGGAGACGCCTGGAGTCGAAACCCGTCCGGGATGTCCATCTTCAGCGTTTATTCCTCAGGCGACAATTCGTCATCGTCGTCGAGCTGGGTCAGCGGGTCCTTTCGTTGTCATCGTCTCCTGACAAGACACAGCGGAGGCATCGTCTATTGTTGTGGCGATACCCGAAGCGGGGACAATACTCCAACACTCAATAATGTGTCAACAAGAGGAGCTTTCTTCCGCAAGGGTAATTCTTCTGTGCTCCGAATGAACGCGAAATACAATATCACGTACCGTCGCTCTCATCATCGCTGGAAATGGCGTCCTCCGACAGCTGGTCCACGTCAACCTTGCCGGTGTCCCCATCCTCCTTGCCCTCCTCATCAGCGCTGGCGCCACCCTCCACATCCATGAAGGAATATGTGGAAAGGCCCTCGAGGTTGAT